AGATTCAGCAGGAACACGAATATCTGGTAGCAGCTACCGATCCATTTTTCATGAGCAGCAGCTTAGCAAATCCAGCTTTATACTGATCCTCGTCTATAAAGCAGTCTGGTGAGAAATGATTCGCGCAAACATGAACGCATTGACGTTGCTCGTGGGGAATATTCCCTTCGAAAACAAACACAGCCACTGCGTCTTCAGCGGTTCGGATTTAGGAACATTAAAATGACTGCTGTGTTCGTTATTACACCCAAGAACAAAACACCACAATCGCTTAGACGCCATTCTGCTCATAGACAGTGCTCCAGCATATCAACAATGACCGCGCCGGTCCGCACAGACTATGATTGACAGCTGGCTCATGGAGCTGATCTCACCCGCGAGGGCGGGTCTGTGTTGAGACGCTCCTGTCAATCAACAATCGTGGGAGGGGCTTCCGAGCGTGTGACGTCACACGGTCGAACGGCTCGATTTGAGGTAGGGGAAAACATATAAGGAGATTAAAACAAAACCACTGGATGGATTTTTATCATTATATGATGGTTGTGTACAGACACTGCCAACACACATTTCAGTACAATCAACTTGTAAAAGTGCATGCACCATTATATGACCCCTTTAAAATAATCAGAGTGACTACAGTGGCTCAACCTTAAGTTTATCAAGTGACGAGAATACTTTTTGTGCGCAAAAAAATAAATAAATAACGACTTAATTCAACTATTCATTTCCTTCTCTGTGGGCCTCTAGTTAGTTCACGTAGTGTAACTGCGCAGCGTTTCTGGCCCGGCAAGTTTCAATCCGATAGAAGCCTATGGAGGAGTGATCCAGCTCTCAGATTTAATCAAAAATATCTTAATTTGTGTTCCGAAGATGAACGAAAGTCTTACGGGGTTGGAACAACATGAGGGAGGGTAATTACTGACAGAATTTACATTTTTGGGTGAACTAACCCTTTAATGCTGATGCTGAGGAATTACAGTTGCAACATCTCACAATGTACCTCAAACTGAGTAGTGTATTACTGAGAAACGTCCTGCTCGAGTCGTCCTTGTGATGGAGGTTCGGGTTGAATAACGAGTTCTTCCAATGTTTCATTATTGGACTCACGCTCGGATTGATATGGTAAAATCGACGTCATTGTTCGTCACTGTGTTTAGTTTACGGTGTAGGAAGCCTCAGGACAGCTGATGTTGTTATGGCAATGGGCGTTTTTGTTTTCGACACATGCGCTGTACGCGGTAAACCAATCACAACAGACTGAGCATTCTGGCCAATCAGAGCAGAATAGCTCGTGAAAAGGAGGGATTTAGAGAGATTGATTAATCTGACGAGTAGTTTGAGAATCATTAAAAAATGTGGTGATGTGCAAATGTATATTATGAGAAAATTAAACAGTTTTTTGACCTTTGATGCATCTAAACCTGTTGTAGGAGACTGTAAAACAACATTAGGAAACTTTAAAATAGCATAATAGGGGCACTTTAAAACAGTTTTATAAGGAATTAAAAGAGATATACGATACAGTTATAAAATTAATTAAAGCGTAAAAAGATGATACATAGATAACCTTCTCATCTGGCAAAACACCGGCGTATCATAATTTTCACAACTCTGAGATTTTCCCATGGTGATTATACTGTGTCTGTGGTGTTCTTTCGGCGCGCCTAAGAAATATATTGGACGTATCCAATAGGCCCGATTTTTCCCTAAAATCATACAGGAGAAGCTCTAGGACTGACTCACGGTGTAACCTCGGGTTCACTGCCACATCAGTCCGCACCCCATAGAACCTCGATTTTAATAACACATCAAACTCACTACTCTACCACAGACCCAGGTCATCAGCATGGTTTCATCTCTCAAATTCCCCAATTAAGTATTTTTTGTTTGTCTCTTACCCAATTCGCAGAGCCATTGAGTTCAGTTTAGAATCAAAAGGAGAATTCAAAACTGAATTCATAACAAATCAAAGCAGAGATAATGAAAATACGTAAAAAAAAGCATGAAGCATGAAAAAGCATCCCAGTTGGTCTTGACTGGCCTCCATACCGATAAACCACTGATGGCTGATCTGAAAAAACAAAACAAAAAACAAAAACAGAGAAAATGTGTGAGAAATGGTCATGAGTTTACAACATGTTACTGACAGTATTTTTATTTTTGGGTGAACTATCCCTTTAATTGCCTGAATGTACAATTACGTAAAAGGTACACTGAGTAACCTAATAGCCCTTAAAACTTAAATCTGAAATATAAAGCTTTTGTAGCATTACAAATATTTTTACTGTCACTTTTGGTCAATATAATGCATCCTTGCTGAATAAAAGTATTAATTTCATTCAACAACCAAAAAAATTATAATAATTACTGACTGAACAGTAGTAGTTTCTATTTCAGATAACTTAAATACTGTTCTTTTGAACTTTCTATTCAAAGAATCCTGGGAAAAAAAGTGTACAACTGAAAATAATCAGAAATGTTTCACACAAGTGCTCCTAAAAATAAATGTAAGCGTAGAGCCCTTGCAAGTTATGCATTACAATGTTAATCACATAATGCATCTGATAGTTAGTCAAAACATATACTTACAAAGCCAAAGATGCTCAGTGCTGTGGCTCTTAAAAGAGCCTTTGAGCTGTAGTTAGCTCCTGTTGACACAGGGAAAAGAGAGAAAAAGAAGAAACATTATTTTTCATTATGATTATTGGCTAATATGACTATATGTTATGAACATGATAAATCACAGATCTAGGATGACTGCTAGATTGATCACTTACACAGTCAATCAGATTACAGTTTTACCAATAATTGACATAGAATTTCTAAAATATGTTGCAATGAATATTTTTTTATTAATCTATTAGTCTGCCATTACATTGCTTTAAATTCGTTACTATTTTAACATGTCATATTTCTGTTATGTGCAGAGTGAATCCAGAATGTATATGTAACTTATGTAGCCGTCACATCTCTTACATCGTGTACACTTTGTTATGAGAGAGCGCGAGAGAGTGCCTTTGAGAAAACGCGCAAGGCCTAACGTTAACGTTAGGTCCTAAACACCACACACATTTAACTGACGAGTAAAATATGCCATATCTGGTCGTAAAAAAGACGGGAAACCATTGTTTGTGTAAATACTAGATTGGGTCCATCTAACGTTACTGGAAAAGGCAGTCAGTCAATTCTATGACATTTCAGTTAATGTGATATGAAAATGGCGGTTTTTGAGGAAAGTTCCTTCAGATTCTCCTGTAATAGCCATACTTCATACATTTAGCTATATTTAATTGATATTGGTAATGGTTTACTTTGTAAAAGTAATGTATAAAAGAATTTGTTCAGTAAAAAGTACTTACCTCCGAAAAACTCACAGCTGGCTTCTAGCGATGCGATCCACTCTCAGCAGGGACGTCCGTTATGAGCGCGCACTCTCGACACGTGACGTCACACAACAAACCTCAGTTTACATTCTGCCAGGTTGTCGCGGGCTTTGCACGAGGGCAACAATTTAAATTTTGTGAGGTGTAAGCAAAGTTTATATATATATATATAATTTAAAATAATGAAAAAATACATTTATATCACCACACGTGTGCTGTTTTACCTGGCATAAATAAAAAAATAAAAAAAATAAAAAAATGATTGCCTGTATGGGAACCATAGATGGGAACCAGTTGTGGATTTAAAAAATATATATATTTATTGGAGAAAATGCTAATATAAAAATTACTCTGGTCTCTCACTAAGAACTCATTTGAAATCTTTCCATTCATGTGTTTTTTTTATTTTTTTTATTTAACTTTCAGCGTGTGCATATAGCTTATAAATGAGAATGCAGATTCATGATTTTCATCTGCAGAACAAGATGGGGGGAAAAAACTATAAAACATTATCAAATGACATTTTAATATGCCTAAAACATAAATACAATATGCATATAGCCCTATAAGTAATACAAGTTGTGTACACAATGAACAAAAGTGCAGTCATCCCATGAATTATAAGGCAATGATTACACCTTAATTGTACAGTGCTTATATGCCCATTCATATATAATGCAGAGATGCATTTACAGTAGCACTACTGCTTTTGCATAAACAGTAAAGTACTGCAAATACCCATATACAGTAAGTTACTGTAAATTTCATTAAAAATACCCACAATGCAGTGCATATTACAGTAGTTAACCGTAAATAATATAAATGGTATTTTACTGGGCTTTTTTGCGGTAAGTAACTGTAAAATTACGGCAAAGTCTAACAGTGTAGGACTAGTCGGCAAAATTAGCCTAGCCTACGTTTTTCAAAAATTCTTGACTGGAAATAAATGGAGCTACGTGTGATATGAAGAGCATGAGCCAAGTGAATATAAAACACTTAGGGCCTACTGTTATTATAAATTGTTCATGAATTATAACCAAAAAGTCACAATTTATTAATTTTGTTTTCTCTATAGCGCCCCCAACAGTGTAATTTATGCGCATTTCTCCCTGTTTTATACAGTCTATGATTTCTTCATTTATTCCCTGAGCAGGGACGCGCGTTTCAGACAGTCCAAATTTCAAGTTTCTGCATTTACAGATCCGTACATCCGTTCTAAGACAAAAATAATAATATTAATATAATAATTAGACAAAACAGCTGCGTTTCCAACATGTCGTGGCCCTTTGAATAAATCCGTGTCAATAGGCTATCTATGATTTCAGCCATTTTATTGTAAAGCTGATGTAAGATTCCCAAGCACGAGGTTATACCGGTACACCCCAAAAAATCAGCTTGTGGGCGCTGTAGTGGGTTGTACCACTGTTTTATGTAATGGGGTGGGGGTGGGGGTCCGATTTAAAATGATTTTCAAACATAAAAAAACACACTTTAAACCAAAATTAAGTGTTGTCATATTATTTGATCTGTTTAAAGAAATTATGTTAATAGCCTACATAAGACACGCCTATTTTAGTTCTTCGGGGAACACAAATCATTTTCCTCCCCAATCTCGTGTGGGACGGACGACACTGATACAGAGCATCTGCGCCTCCTGCATCACATTTACATCAGATTGTATATGAGATGTCCAAACCATCGAATATAACCCGTCTTTAGGTCGAAACAGCTCTTTTCAAAACCTTAGCTCATTTCCTTTTGATTCGTTATAAGGTAAGATTGTTTTATTTGTCTATTCGATTGTGCTTATTTGAAATACAGATGAGAGAACGGCTGCGTAACCACATCCAGTGTGTATGATGAAACCTCGCACATGGGTGACAGTAAATTCGGGCGGGGGGTAAAAATGAAGTTCTTTACAAATATATTGTATTTCATTCGTAAATAATAAGTGATATTCGCATGAGCGTAATTGTCTATTTTCAGTCAGTATTTTTCCTAAAATAAGCGGAATTTAAATTGGATCTACACATGTTGACACACTGGCCTTTGCTAATGACACATTATTTACTTTAGCCTATTGTTGACACCCTATATGCGCATATAGATTTCATGACCTTATTTTAACGATGCTTTTTTTTAATGAGCTAATTTTTAAAAGATTTTAGAGAATATAGGCGTAATTTTTAAGAGATTTTACTGTAAATTCAATAACGAAGAGGCCAAAATGTGTTCTGCTGGAGGCTGATTTATAAAAAGGTGCAGCCTTGAAAGAAATCTGTTAATCATGAGCTTCGACCGAGAGCGGCCCGGCAGTATCATTCACATTGTTGCCTACACTCGTGGTTTAGTATACAATGTACAAAACCAGAGGTTTTGATCCACAAAAGATTGATTTAATTGCGTGATTACTATTATTTTACATTTTGCTGTCCATCTATTGCAAATCCGCTCTTCAAACCTTTTTCTGGGGCGATGCGGCCACGTGATCACAGAAGGCGCGCTCATGTCTGTTTGGGTTCTTATGCAAATGAACCGACCTCGTGCTATGAAGTGGGGCTTAAATTATTTAGATGGGAAATATGATCGTGTTCCAAACGATTCGGTTGGTTTAAATGACATTTGATATCAGATGGAAGCTGTGATGCGAGTCATGGTTCACAGCCTCCTGCTATTGAAAACACTGTATTGTGCTTTACGTTTGTAGCATACATTAGCAAATTTGCTGTTACTAGAATGAATGCGAAATTAGCCTACTCTCTATGTTCTCTATCTATTTTTTTCCCTAAACGCAATTCATAAACTGTCCCAACTTATAATGATATATTCTGGGAATTACACCTGTTTCTGTGATATGCAGTCGGTGAAGAAAAATAAAGATTTGTGTGATTTGCCTGATGTCAAACAATAGGTTATTGCTACAAAAATATTTAATTTGCAAGTCATATTTTTTTAAGGACATTTAACATGCAAGTAAGTGTCATATTGCATCATGTTAGGCGGGGAATTAAGCTGTCTAGTTTCTGTTCTTTGTTTTTGTATCTAACAGGAAGCCTGTACCGTGAAAATGAGATAAACATTTCATCAACCCACACTTTTCTTTCTGTTGACTAAATCCCTCTCTTTGACCTACATCTGCCCTTTTGAACGAAACCTACCCTGTCGAAAAGGATTTCCTAGAATCTCTCCCTCCCCATCAACAAAAAAGACATTTTCAAATGCCCAAAAACAGCAAAACCGTCAAGAGAGAGATTGACGATGACGATGTTACGGAATCTGTCAAAGATTTGCTCTCCAATGAAGATAGCTGTGAGGACTCTTTCAAAAAGAGCTCTCTAATGGTAGGAGATGTTCCTCAGAATAAGGAGCTGGATGTTGAAGAGGGCTCAGAGGAAGAGGAGGAGGAAGAGGAGGAGAGACCCGCCTGGAGCAGCAAGCTCCAGTACATCCTCGCCCAAGTGGGCTTCTCAGTGGGCCTGGGCAACGTCTGGAGGTTCCCATATTTGTGCCAGAAAAACGGTGGTGGTAGGTTAAGCAAAATATATTTTTTATAAAAAGAGTGTAAATCCAATTAAATGTCTCAAAATGACAATTATCAATTTAATACATATGATATGGATATATGATCAGCATTATTTTAGAGCTTACAAAGATATCCTATATTTTCCTTTTTTATTTAAAATGAATATCCTATCAGTACACCATCATACTGAATTGCAGTACCTCTACTCATAGTTAGGAAAGATACATTTACGCACACACACAGGTTTGTTTTGCTGTACTTGTGAGGACATTTCATAGGCGTAATGGTTTTTATACTGTCCAAACTGTATATTCTATCCCCCTACACTAACCCTACCCATCACAGAAAACTTTATGCATTTTTACATTTTTAATAAAACAGTTTAGTATGTTTTTTTAAGCCATTTGAAATACAAGGACTCAGGAAATGTCCACATAAATCACATTCATGTTGTAATACCAGTGTAATATCCATGTCATTATACAAATTTCTGTCCTCATAACACACACACACACTCTTGAGTCTCTTGAGAGTCTGTGGACCGAGAATTGAATCTGAAACTGAACTTTTTCAGTTCAGTAACACAGTAACACTTCTAGCAATTACAGAATATTGCAGAATATTTTTTTAATTGTGATAAATAAATTGTGGTTCCCCTCAAAATGTATATAAATGGAATTAAATAAACCATTGTTTTTATAATGCTTGAACAAACCTCATTTCAAAAACTTGACAACCTAAAGTCAGACATATCTGACACCTCATTTGTAAGTTCTCATTATGCATTTCCTGCACATGTCTGCAGGAAACACGAGTCTCGGTGCCAGAGGTCTTTCTCTGAAAATACACACGATTAAAAGAAATGAATGGCATTTTGAGACATAATATCCGTTGAACAACTTTGGGCTGAAATGGAACAGAGATTGCGAGCCATCACTTCTTGTCATGGGTGTAAATTTCATCAGCAGTTGGGAGGGACATATAGTTGTTTAAATACGAGTTAGGTTCATAGGTTCACCACGTGGTCATATTATAATTACTAAATGATCTGGCATCCTCCACATAGTATTTTAGGTTTCGTCTGGGACAGAGGACGTCTCTTACTTTAATATTCAGCAAGCCCGCTGATCTGCCACTTCGCATATTGAGCAAAACCCAACACAACGGTAGATCTAAAATATTAGCCTCATATCAGATCACACATATCGCCATGTTAGTTGTAGTGGGTAACTTACTATCCAACAAGCTGCAGCATTAAACAAGCTACCAAAGGGTTGGGGGGACCAACTCAATATTAATGTCTATGTATTTAGAATGCAATGTCATTACAGTCCCTGTTGGTGTAATGGTCAGGTGTCCCAATACTTTTGTTTATATAGTCTATAACAATCAATAAAAACGAATTAGAAATAGTTGTTTGAGTGAGAGATCTATGTTCTCACAACAGTCAGGCATGGCATTGAAATGAAACGTTTTGCATGTTACAGGATAATCACAGGTTATATTACCCATCTGTGATTATACAAAGCTGTTTAATGTCAAGAGAAAGCAGATTACAGCTTCTTACCCTAGTCTCCCTGAGAGCAATGACATACAGTAGATAAGATTACTCATGTCTCTCTCTTTGTTCTCCTTATGTCATTTGCAAAAGACACTTTCAGAGTTAGTCGATGATTTCTGTATCAGAAAGAAAGACAGACAAGAAAGAAACATATGCAATAGCTATCATTTTTTTTACAAGGAATTCTACTGTCTTACATTTTAGTTTTCATATCCGGTAGTAGGAAACTATTGTGTTTGCATACACTTGTACAGTTTGACCAATTTTCTGTCTAACTGCATGATAATTTGACCACAACCCTGCCGTGTCTTACTACTTACTCCAGGTTATAATAAGTGAGTGTGACCACCCTGCTGTGCAGAACTGTAATTAGATTAAATAGGGCACTGTGTGTGGGCTGTCTCTGTCTTTGCCAGGGCAGAGCAACCACAACACCGCATCATTTACAGTATGTGGCATCAATGACAGCATATTTTGTCCTCAAAGAAACACACCTATGACGTTTTGCTGCCCCAGTCTGCCAGATGTCATCTTACGCACAACCCATGGAGTCATACATTTTTAAACAAGCATCTCACAGCGCACCAATCTGACCTACATTAAACCTTAAACAAAATGCAAAAACATGACAATTTTGGTGAGATTCTACTATTTTAAAGTTAATTGGGCACAACACAAGATCTAAATACCCCTATTGTTGGCTACAATAAGGCTGCTAAATAAATTGAATGATAAAACATTAAAATCAGTGGTGGAGCTCACCTTTTTCATTGCCTGGGTCAGGTGCTCCAGAAATTGGATTACGTTTGACAAAGGGAATCAATGCAAAATGGCTCAAAATTGTTAATGACACTTCATGATATCCCAAAGCCTGTACTGTATAGTTGCCACTTAACAAAATAGACAGGTTGAAGACCTTACAAACCAAGCTGGTATGAGATAAAATATACTGCAGTTTACAGAACATGCAGTAATTACAGTCTCATTTCATTTGTGTAAATTACTCTTTAGTTTATGTTTTCCAATCTCTAAATATACCAGATGGTGGTGTCTAAAATCATACTTATCTGTGAATCTCAGTAGGTTTCTGTGTGTTAAAGCACATGACTGCAACATGTTGGAAGAGCAGCAGACCTGCAGGACTCTCAAAGCAATGCCATTGTATTGAAGTTGTTCCCCATAAGGCACTGGGAAGGAATGTTCCATCCTGTGCCATTGGCAATGCTTGAACAGTTTTGAAATGTCAGTCTCGTCCTTCTTTGGCTCTCTGTAATGAGAGTTTATTTCAAGAGAGAAAATATTAGCAGATAATAACAGTGGGTTAACCAGTTCTTTCATATTTGATAACAAATGTTAGATTGTACCAGTGTTGTTACAAAACAAAAACGATTAAACATTGAAAAAATGTCTTAAAATAAAGCTGAAATTAAACAAAATGAAAATAAATTGATGAAAAAAATAAATATTTAAAATGTTGCCTTGGCAACTAACTGAAATATAAAAAATAAAAGCTAATTCAAAATATTAATAAATACTGTACAAAAAATACCAAAACAACATTGGATTAGACACAAAAAAATTACATGATTAGCATGATAAATAACCATAAATCAAGAAACTAATAAATGAATAGATTAATAAATCGACATAAAACCAGGAAAAGTGAAAAATACACAGTAACATTAAAAACAGTAACATTGGTGTCATTTAGATGACACCAATAATGACAGTTTAAGAATTATCAAACATTGACCTTGAAGAATGTTGGATTACAATGGGTAATTGCTTTAATTACATTTACATACTGTCACTTGTGACATACCGTATCTGGCATACTGTATATCCCAAGTCCTGTGTATAACAGTGTGGAAGTTTGGTTCCAAAATAAATAGGGCCATAACCAGTTCTCCTCTTTGTAGGAGCGTATCTGGTTCCCTACTTCATTCTGCTGGTGGTGATAGGAATTCCCCTCTTCTTCCTGGAGCTAGCAGTGGGCCAGCGCATCCGACGGGGGAGTATCGGGGTGTGGAACTTCATCAGTCCACGCCTGGGTGGCATCGGCTTCGCCAGCTGTTTGGTGAATATCAGAGCTTTCATGTAGACGCACGTTATTTTAAGTGCACTGTATAAAAATAACCAAAGACGGACACTGTCTTTGCTCAGGGGAGAGGTAACTAATTAAACCTTTTAAAGACATGGCGAGATGGAGTAGAGGGTGTAGTTAATACATTTAACTGCATTCTCTCTAATTGCAGGTGTGCTTTTTTGTGGCGCTCTACTACAATGTCATCATCGGCTGGAGTCTCTTCTACTTCTCGCAGTCCTTCCAGCATCCTCTTCCTTGGCACGAGTGTCCCCTGGTCAAAAACAAAACGAATACATGTAAGAAGACCATGAAATGACGCTTTTTATTTTTCAAAATACATTCCATATATGACATACTGTATGTAGGCAGAAAACAATAGATTTTAATATACTGAATAACTTTTCGAATGAATCTTATAATGCTGTACAAGATTATAAGTTTCATGTTATTTTGTAGATATTGAACCAGAGTGTGAGAAAAGTTCAGCTACTACGTTCTACTGGTATCGTGTGGCCCTGGATATCTCCGATTCCATCTCTGAGAGTGGAGGACTTAACTGGAAGATGACTTTGTGCCTGTTGGTTGCTTGGACCATGGTGTGTCTTGCTATGATGAAGGGTATCCAGTCTTCTGGAAAGGTAAGAAAAGTGTTTTGTATTTTGTTCTAGGAAAGTCTGCCTTTAGGTACAGAATAAAGTCAGCCAAGACCTCAAGGGATGTCTTAAAAGTAGCACAGAGAGAAACACTGACCCTCAGACTGATCTTTCCTATAACAATGAGAACCATCGGCCTCTCATGTGATCCATGCCTGCACAACTTTGTGAAACGTGATGCAGCGTCCATATGGATAAAACCAAATGTGGTTCTCTGACATCAGTGAACTTTTGACCCGGTTCCCTTTTGACAGCTGATTTTCAAGTCATGTGGGTATTAAAACCCCCTAAAGAAGTTAAAACAACATATTGAGGGATTTTAATTTTTTAAAGGCATCCATTATCATAGTGGATATGTAAAAAGAATACATATAATTATACATAGGTAAGGAATAATTGACGACAGGCTGTTGAATTATTAGGAAAATAATGCACACCCGAGGTGGTAATGCCTCGGGTGTGTATTATTTTTCAATAATTCACCGACCCGGAGTCAATTATTCTGCTTAGACTAAAGTTACCACACCTCAAAACATTGTTCAGATGATGTATTTCAAGACATTTGTCAGGTTTTTGTCCTTAAATCGCTCTTATGTGTAGGACTAATTTCTTAAGCATCTAATCCTAAAACTCAGTTGCTAATTCCAAAATGTCACTTTAGAGCTGGAAGAGGCTTCAGCCACTGATAGCAAACTAATGCAGTTATTAATGCAGTTAGAGAGAGAGAGAGAGAGAGAGAGAGAGAGAGAGAGAGAGAGAGAGAGAGAGAGAGAGAGAGAGAGAGATCGTATGTGAAGAGTCTATGCGTCTCTCAACAGTGTTTGGCAGCAGCGTCTCTAGACTTGATATTGTCAAAGACAATTTATATAGAGACATGCCACTTCCTCAATCCTCAATACAACTATATAGGGAAAATCCGTAACGCCAAAGATGGCGGTTGTATGCACATGCCCCGCCCCTCCCGCTGGAAAGCCAATCGTCTGCTTTTAACAGTCAAGCCGGGAAACATGTAAGCCTATCGTCTGGTTCCACTGACGCATGCGCACAGTTGAGGTTTGCGACAGCGGAGACGAGAACCCTTCCGCATGCGTAGTAAACGTATAACCTGTGGGGAAAAAGGCCTTTTAAACCTTATTTTGGGGCAAAGTCATCAAACTTTTTCAGCGATTTTTATCATATTTTACTGCTGTTTCTATACAAGCAGTTTTTATGTCCTGGTGACCAGTGAAAGTGCAGTTCTGACTCTCTGCCCATTCATTTAGATAGGAGCCTGGTCTTGTTAGTCCGAAATAGCTGCCCGGAGGCGTTGCCAAGATGGCGGCCGAGTGGCATGACTTGCCTAAAAGGACTTTGATATTGTCCATCAGCAATTGATTGGCTCGTTGGATGGTTGTGGTTTGCTATTGCTGTGATCTCACAGGTTTTCCCGCCCACACGCCATCAGAGAAGAGAAGAAGGGAAGTTAAAGATTAAAAGGGTACATGAATTAAATAATACTAATAATAATGATGTGAACGGATAAATCATTTAGAATTAGTAAATACAGCAATATTCCAGCAATATTAAATAAGAGGAAATGTTCATTTTGGTTTCATGGTGACTTCAATATATTGCCAGTTAAAGGGACTGCAATCCCTTCTACTGTGTAAGTGTGGCCCCTCAGTCAGTAAGGATATTATAGTATGGGATATATATGCTATACTCTGAAGGGGATAAAGACATTCTTTGAAGCCTAATCTAGGATTTACCTCACAAAAGAATACCAATCTCTCATTCAACATTCCCACAAAAGCGTATTTCACAAAAAAAAAAAAAATCCTAGTGATTTTTTTCTTCTTCTTTGTCATTTTGTGTGCACAAAAGCATGGCAATGCTGGTTGCCATGGTTTTATGTGCACCATCCCTATTCACAGTTCTGTGGCACTGTACCCAGTAACCTTACTCAACTACAATTATTGGTGTTTGAGGATACTGTACTGTAGAATTAGAGTTGTGTCTGCAGGAGGAAGGATATATTTATTTGAAGGATCTTCATATAACCTTTTTGATGCTTCACTTTTGGGGAACCATAAAGAAATGTCTTTTAATCTTCTAAGTTGTGGGATAGTTAAAGTTAAGACTTTACACTATAAGACTGGTCCGCCCTTGATGAATCAGAGATGAGTCAGTATAGCCTTTTGAGCATTTTGGTCATACAGTATGTACAGTAATTCACTAATGCCATCAACAAAGGCCGTTTTGTTTACTTCAAAAAGTAATTTAAATTAATATATGACTGCACACATTTTCATGTCAGAGCATGGTGCTAGTAATGCCACGGTCATGGATTTGAATCTGGATTTCAACAGCATGAACTGTTAAAATGTATAACCTCAATGCAAGGCAAGTTCCTAAAATACACATTAAAAATGAATAATACGAACCAAATTAAAACGTGTCCATAAAATAAATTATGTATATGCTTTAAGGATTAAGTTAAGTATTAATCATTGTAAAATAGAAAATGATGAAAATTATGTTTGGGGTGTGACTTTATGACTGTACTGAACTCATAAAGAGAACCAACTGTTCCCATTGCCACAAGGTTTTGAGTCACACCAGTGTTATTGTAGTAGTTTTTATATAATCTATATACTATTATAATATTTAATATTTTTTTTTTTATATTTAAAAAAAATATATATATATTTATTACATTTAGTTTTAGTAACTTTAATACTTCAATGTAATCTTATTTATATCAGCTAGTTGCCAAGGAAACATTCTGAATTTTAAGTTAAAATGTTTCATCTTATATTTATATTTTTTAGCTTTGTTTCAGTTTTCGAAAACTATTTGTAATCACTTTTGATTTAGTTTTAGTTAACAATAACAACACTGAGTCACACTTGATCTCATTGTTGGCAAAAATGGAAGATATAAAACTCAACAGTTCTATCTTTTCTGATGTACATGTTTAGAGCAAAGCCTTTGGTTACAACATCTCTCGACAAACCGCAATCAGTATCATCATCTCAGTTCTGTAGAAGACTATAAATGTATTGTCATGCAGGATAAGCAGTAGACACTTAAGACTAGGCTTTGTTCAGACAGTCAGAAAAAATAGTTCTGACTCAAATGTGTTTAGTTGTATTCTGAACGGCAAAATGAAACCCAGATATTACAAACTAGATCAAAACAAAATCCATATGTCAGATTTCTGGAAATATGCTTCAGTCTGATCGGACCGGCCATGCAGGCTGGCATTTAACATCACACACAAAGTGTCTGCAGCTGTGTGTCAATTCACACATTTACAGTCACATGTTACATTCAGGCCTGCTATAGATGCCTTAACTACACCATCTGGCTTAAAGAAACCATCTATCTTCATTAACGCTCATTCAAAATGAGCTGTGTATTGTAATAAAATAATTCTTTCACTGTAATGCTTGAACAAATGCATCTGATTTCTTCTTTTGTAAAATGACTGACTGTCTAGGTTTGAAAACGTAACTAAAAGTCCCCCTGTAGTCAATTATTTTATCCCTTAAAACTCATCTGTGATCACCAAAATTACATACTTAAGCATATTTAAACATTAAATAACTTGAATGTAACTCTTCACCATTGCCTCATTTAGTATACACGGTTCAATGAATATGCAAATTAGCCCCGCCTCCACTCACTCACACTCAGGGGGACTTTAAAGGTTTGGAAAACAAACCAGAATTGGCTGCACTATATAAAAAAAAAGCCTTACAGTCGATTCATAGTTTGTCAGCAAAGTCAGCAAGTGAGGGCACATTTTTCTGCCCCTTATGTGCAGAAAATGATCTTACAGCTTAAGAAACACTAGCATTCAATTTTACATTGACATTATTTGATAATCCGTTTGGTTATGTCTGACTGCAGGTGATGTACTTCAGCTCTCTGTTCCCCTATGTGGTGCTTATTTGTTTCCTGGTTCGTGCTTTCCTACTCAAAGGTTCTATAGACGGCATCATCCACATGTTCACCCCGAAGGTAAGACCATGTAAGAAGATGACACATTACCACAATGGTTAGACCAATTTACTCTACATGCTCTGGTTCACACTGCAGCAATTAATCCAATTTGTTGAGAATTACCGTAATCATCCATAACTAATTCCCATGTGTATCACTCGTCTCAGTTCGGTGAAGACCAGTAGATGTATCTATGGAAACAATACCCTAGCCAGATTTCCCAGCATGCATTTGTGATGTGACTCGGCAGAAGTGAATTAAATCTTCCATCAGCACACACTGAAATGCAGCAGACTGTCTAATTGTGCCAGCTATTTTACATAATATCCATCCAACACAGACACAAGATGTGGTCACATTTTCTCCTCAGTGCAAAGGGCTGTCAATGTGTCCCTTGTTGAGTTATATGTCGCTTCAGAGTCTTATCAGAGGGTGGTTTGTGTAACACACAATTAAATGATAGTACGTAGCCAAAGCTTTAGATTTGTACTGCTTCTGTTTCACACACAATGGTAATTAGTACATACATAGCCATTACAATCACTGCGCTGCTCAAATGGGGGGGGGGGGGGGGGGGGGATTGTAATTTTTCTTTTTTATATAAAATCCTATATTTAACAAGCTTTTTAGAGCTGTTTTTACATCTATGTTATCAAGGGTGCAGTTCAGTAGCTAAAAAGGCTGATTAAGTATGATTCTATTAATATTTAAAGGGATACAGTTCACCCTAGAAATGTATATTCTGTCATAATTTACTCTCCTGTTGTATTTTACTTCAAACCTTGCATAGATGCATTTCTTATTCTTATTGCAATACACAAAAAAAGATGTTTTGAAAAATGTTGGTAACCAAACAGTTTTGACATCCATTATATGGCAAAAAAAAAAAAAAAATTCTCTCAAAATATCTTCTTTTATGTTCCACAAAAGAAAAATAAGTCACAGTGTTATTTTGGTATTATTTATATATTATTATATATATATAAAAAAAATATATTTTAATATTTTTTAGTAATTTTGTTATGTGATTTTGTCACTTTTATTAGGTTTTGTTCTTTTTAAATATTACTATAAAGGTTTCATTTATTTTTATATCAGTTTTAGTTTTAGTTCAGTTTTAAGCTTTTTATTTACAGTTTTTTTCAGTAATTTTAGTGCTTCAACTTAAACTTATTTCAGGTAGTTGCTGAGGCAATATTTAACATTTTCTAATTTTCATTCAATTTAAGTTGTCCATCTAATATTCATTTATTTTTGCTTTATTTCAATTAACAACAATGTTTTTTGATAGTTTTAGTTATAATGATAATAACCCTCATAAGTCATACAGCTTTGGAACGATACAAAAGTGAGTAAATGATGAAAGAATTTCCCTTTAAGAGTGTTACTGTGTGTGTGTGTGTGTATATGACTCAAGATAATTATTTAATATGATCATATGTTAAAATATGTGATGTAGCCCAATGTTTAAAGAAGCAATCGGTCTATATATCAGCTTGCGGTGGTTAAAAAAAGAAATATTTGTCCATTTTGAGATTATTGGCTTCTCAGTTTACTTTAACCATAGGCAAATTGATATATTTTCTGATGTTTTCAGATATTCTAAATAAAAAGCATATCACTGTGGATGATTTAGCATGTGACAAATAATAAACCACACTATCTTGTTACAGCTGGAAATCATGCTGGAGCCCAAAGTGTGGCGTGAGGCTGCCACGCAGGTCTTTTTTGCCCTGGGTCTTGGTTTCGGTGGTGTTATCGCATTCTCCAGCTACAACAAGCGAGACAACAACTGCCACTTCGATGCTGTGCTGGTCTCCTTCATTAACTTCTTCACCTCAGTGTTGGCCACTCTAGTAGTGTTCGCTGTGCTGGGCTTCAAAGCCAACATCATGATTGACAAATGTGTGGAAATGTAAGTTCAAAACCAATTAACCATGAGAAGCAGTTTAGTAGCAAGTTCCACATATTATTGAAAATAAATATACAGTCCATAAATGTCATCAAACTGCAATGACCGGTAGTTTAATTTCTTGTTTTAATGTATCTTAGGAACACAAAGAAGATCATTGATTTCCTTGGCAAAGAGATCAATCCAAGCTTGATCCCACACCATATTAACTTCAGTAATGTTAGCCCAGAGGACTACCAGCAAATGACCAGCATTATCCAGGGCGTGATGGAAAACGATTACCCACGCCTAGGCTTAGACAACTGCGACATCAAAGAGGAGCTGAACAAGGTGAGGAGGAGCTTCAAGAGAACTGATACACCACGGGGAAACCTTAGAGACACACGGGGAAACCTTAGAGACAACTGATATACACAAACTTTCCATGGAATTTAACCCTGGTGGTTAGGCTCTCTCTCCAGTCATGTTTTGAAAGTTAATACAACACTAGAGAGCACTCACTATCAAAAGTCATTTTAAAGCCCATAACCCATACTTCACAGCTATTAGAAAATCAGACAAACAAACAAAATAGATAGGGGTCAATGATGAGTAGTGTTGGGGAAAATTACTTTTTAAAGTAATGTGTTACAATATTGTGTTACTCCCTAAAAAAGTAACTACTAAGTTACTTTTTATGGAAATTAATATGTTGTTACTTATGCTTTACTTTTTCTCACCTGGGCTAGGCCTGCTTGTTTGTTTTTTACAACAACAAAAAAAGAAAAGAAAAAAACATTGGTTAGCAAATGTAAAGGCCCTTTATGTGGAAGCTTTTTTCCACCACAGAATAAAACATTTTTAAAAGATAATTGCGATTTTTTCTCTCTCACAATTGCGAGTTAACATCTCGCGATTCTGACTTTTTTTTCCTGAGAATATAAGGCAGAATTGTGAGATAAAAAGTCGCAATTACCTTTTTTATCTTTTATTCTGTGTAGAGGACGCAGTTCAAACAAACCTTTCAGCTGTGAAATATTTAATATAATTATTAAATATATATTTAAAATACATTGTAGAATATAATTCCTTGAAAATTATATAAATGTTTTCTAAAATTAAATTTATTTAAACTAGATTTTTTCTCAGAAATCCTTATTTGTAATCGACACATCAATTATATCAATTATTTATATAAATAAAATAAAAGGAACCAAAATAAAAGGAAACTTTAGTGGCCTTCAGTTTGAACGAGATCAAGAGGCACTGCATGATGAAACAAAAGGAAATAAATGCGGTACGTGTTGGCGTTATCAGATTAAACCACATACACACCTCTAAGAACCGTCATAGACCGCCTAGAATATGAGGCTCTTTCTTTACACAGTCACATTTCCTCCTGCATCTTTTGATGTGTTTCGTTTTACCCAAATCTATTTTTGTAAGTTTCTGCTTGCTTCGATGTAAACCCTCACACTAAAACATGTTGAATTAATCATGCAGAATACAGCATTTTAACAGTACAGAATAAACAGGTGTACATCTTGACATTAAAATTTTTTAAAATATGATCAAGTATATTTTACTTTTTCTGAGGAAAATATAAGTTATGTTTGCCTGTGCAAAATACGCTGCCATGATATAAGTCAAGCCTATTCTTACACTTGTCTTTTTATTTATTTATTTATGTTCATGTTTTTGAAGGCATGCTAGAATCCTACCTTTACCTTTTCTCTCACAGGCGGTGCAGGGCACAGGCTTGGCCTTCATCGCTTTCACTGAAGCCATGACCCATTTCCCAGCCTCACCTTTTTGGTCTGTGATGTTCTTCCTTATGTTGGTCAATCTGGGACTGGGCAGCATGTTTGGCACTATCCAGGGCATCCTTACCCCCATTGTGGACACCTTCAAAGTACGGAAGGAATACCTCACAGGTCAGCCAATGCCAAACAAAAACATGACTCTGCAATATAGAGAGAAGGAAACATTTTTACTTCATAGTTTCAAGAATATAATGGATCATTATTTGATCTAGCTGTCTCTGAAACCATATGATAGATTTGCATTTTTAGCTGAACTATTCCTTTAATCACAACAAACATTATCAATGTTGAAAAAAGTTGTCCTGCTTAATATGTTTGTGGAAATCGTGATATATTTTTCCCTTAATCTTTAAAATATAAATATTTTGTAACATTATAAATGTCTTTACTGTCACTTTTGATCAATTTAATGCATCCATAATCTTTTATTTTTAATTCTACTGACCCCAAACTTTTACTTTATACTGCATGGCTTTAATTGACATTTAATCAGATTAAACCTAAATAATTTCACTTAAATGTATCCACGTAAAGGTTTCTGTTGATGGATATGATAAAGTAACGATTTATGTTCGGAAAACTCATCGGGCTGACAAAAAGAAGACGCATTTCCACATGTAGCTGCTACTTCCGCTACTCACAAAAGTCAACAATGCAATGCCCACCCACAGACGCAGAAAAACGCGTTACATTTATGACCATAATAACTCTTATGAGCTTTCATAAACTACTGAGAGGATAACATCGTACCCCCTTCCCATTACCAGGTTAACTTATCCTTTTGATTTCTAATACACATTGTTGCTCTCTGCTTTCTTTACAGTTGGTTGCTGTGTACTTGCCTTCTTTATTGGTTTAATATTTGTCCAGCGATCTGGGAACTACTTTGTGGCCATGTTTGACGATTATTCTGCCACTCTACCACTGCTCATTGTTGTTCTTCTGGAGAACATTGCTGTGGCCTGGGTCTACGGCACCGACAAGTATGTTACGAACTCAGCCTCTATTAGAGAGCTTACAGCGCCTTCTGGTGGCATGATGAGCGACGTATTTATATCAAGAGAATTTATCAACTACATTTATTAAAATTCAAGTTTGTTACGGTCTTATACTACCTTAAGAATGTAATTATAATCATGTAATCATAAAATAATAGATTGCTTTCACAACCAAATTAAATTACATAAACTACTACCTTCAATTGATTGTGGAATTGACTGAAAAAAGGCCCGTACGCAATTTGAAAGTCTAAGATATCTGAAAAAGATATTTTAAGATATTTGATAAATGTTTTGAGTTTAAAATATGGACATGTATTTGTGGTTTTGCTCAGAGAACATACATACAGACTATTCATACTTTGCTTTTGTTTTGTTCATTTTACTTTTTTTATTAGAACTATTTAAAATATTTAAGACTAAATTTTAAAAATAACTAATTGATTTAAGACATTTAAGATACTGAATACTGAGCTGTATATTGATGTGACAAGTATTTGTTGTCATCTTTATATATATTTATTGAAATTAAAGTTTGTTACGGTTACAAACTAACCAATGAAAAATAAATATAGTTATAATTATATTGTAATTATAATTAAATTTCATACAGTAGTGGCCAAAAGTTATGTATGGAGAGAATTGGCATGGGGATTTATTTTAGTTTGATTAAACCATCAAATTATAAGGAAAATGTGTTATATTTTTAAATATTTTAAAAATGAGGGAAGATCGAAACACTAAACTAGGTTTTATCTGACAAAATTATTTTGCAAAAAATGCAAACTGCAGTTAGTTTAGCAGCAACTCTAAGCTAATTTGCCGTGATTGTGGCATTGATGCCTCTCTCTTCTCTGGTTTTATTCAGGTTCTTTGAGGATCTGAAGGACATGCTTGGTTTCACTCCATACCGCTTCTATTACTATATGTGGAAGTTTGTCACACCAGTCCTGCTGCTGGGTCTTCTGGCCGCAAGTCTCATTCAGCTGGGACTGTCGCCACCTAGTTACAGCGCATGGAACCAGCAACTGGTGGGTACACTTTAATACTTAAGATACAATAATGTTTTGAACTTGAACTTAATAAAAATGTTTTGAACTTGGTCATCATTTTATTCAGACACTTTTTATTCAGAGAGGTACAGATTCCATACTGATTATTTCACCTATAAGTGTTCTATTTTTTCTTGATAAAGAAAAGTAAAAACTTCAAAAAATCACAAGGGTGTATTGATGTATTTTATGCTATAGAATAAACATATCTTGAGCTTGTGTTAACCACAGACACTTTTTCAGGCATTTATTGAAAAAATCATTAGCAGTGTCTGAAATCACATTTTCTCTTGAGTAGGTACTTATTTTAAATAAGTACTTACTTTGCGACCGCTAAAAAGTATGTTCTATATAGTATGTGTGTAGTATGAATGTAATACGGATATACTACATTCAATGTGTCATGTGATGTTGTCAACATCATGTGACCTTCCAGTGTCATCCTCTCCCGTGGCCTCATGGGATAGTAAAGTGTCCATCGTATTTAACTTCAGAATCCCGCTGGAAGTAGGTTATCCGGGTACTTTTTGGGCCTTTTCAAATACCCACACTTGTGGTCTTGGACACTTGAGAACACGTGGCACGCAACAGGAAGTGAGTGCGCAAGACTGTCCCTTGTCTAAAAAAAATGCCAAAGCTCAGTGCCCTTAATTCACTTAATTAGAAGCACCACAATTTTACATTGTGTCTTCTGTTACATAGGGACTACTGACCAGACATTTAGAAGTTTATTTTAAAATGCAAAGTATTGAAAATCAAAATAAAGCTCTGTAAACAGATAAGTGTGTCCTATCGGGTAATCAAAAGTTCTACTCACATTTGCAGTCTTCACGCCTACTTGAACACTTGGGCCAAATACAGGAAAACGTCATGCTAGTAGACAAGTGGTCAAGTGCAAAGACCGCAAGTGTGGGTATTTGGAAAGGCCCTTTACCCACTTTTTTGAGTCCTATGAATTCAGTCATTCTAATCAAGCGTAGCGTCAGTTCTGACAGGTCACGCAGCTTATCCACATCTACCTATAGGAATATGACGCCTATCACTGTATACATATATAAGCTCCTTCAGTATTATCAGCAGCTATCGCGTTTCTCAGGAGCTAATTTCCCTCCTCCATCCCCAGCTCCTCCTCTCGCCCAGTCAGGATTTGGCATTCTGATTCCCCTTGAATCAGAATAAATTCTAGAATTATGTTGTACTTTAAAATCTTGAATTAATGATATCTGCAATACATTCATGTTGGTTCTGTTCTGTTCACCCTAAGGGGGGTTATTGCTGCTCTCGCTGCTCTTATCTATGCTAGGCTGCATGGATGCGCATGGAGTTCTTGCCCAGAACAGAACCATACCGCCAATCCAAACTGTATGCTAATTGTCAATCGTATTTGACGATAGTGGTCCTGACAGAACTCGTCACATACTGTTTTTCACTTACTATACAGTAGGGAAGTATGAGATTTCGGAAACAACCATTTACTTCAGAATAAATGGAATTGGAAGTGCTAAAATGGCCTACAAAAATGTCATCCCTGCAGCACTCTATAGCCGCCTTTACACATCACAGCGATCATGTCAAAATCAAAGTCAGTTTTATTGTCCTTTAAAAATCACTTTAAAGTAGTTTTCTGGGAAAATATTAAGCATTTACAAATGTTTACAACAGCACAATCTTACAGTCAATAAATCAAAATGAGGGATAATAAATGTGGGAGCATAGCACCTGCAAATGCATGTAAAAAATAAAATGTACATCTTGCATTCACCATAAAATAAATAAATCCAAAATTTTTGATTTTAATGGTTTTGGGGGGGGGGGGGGGGGGGGGGGCAAATGACTCATGCCCACCAAGGCTGCATGTATTTCATTAAAAAAACAAACAAAAAAAAAACAGTAAAAACAATTATATTGTGAAAAGTTATTACAATTTAAAATAACTGTTTTCTATTTTAAAATGTAATTTTTTCCTGTGATGGCAAAGCTGTATTTTTAGGAGCCATTACTCCAGTCTTCAGTGTCACATGATCCTTCACAAATCATTCTAATACACTGCTGATTATATAATACAATAACTATAGCAAACCTGTAACAATGATAAAGTGAATTGTGCATCTTATTACAGTAATTGTCAGTTTTAAAAAGAAAGCTTAGGGTAAGGACATTTATTGGTGTGACTAGTGCAATTATGAGCATTGATCTATACGTGACTATTGAGATAAGTTAATGCCATTGCTTTTCAGAAAAATTGACTGAAAAGAAAAGCTGTGTTTCTTTAAGCCCAGGTCATTCTAAGGCTTACCGATGCACAGTTTTACCACAGGATTAAAGTGGAATTATTCCTTTTCCGGAATAATCCAATTGCTGTGTCTGTTCTCAGGCTCAAGAACAGACTCTCAGCTATCCGCCCTGGGGCCTGGCTGTCTGCATCTCACTGGTGGTCACCGCCATCCTCCCCGTGCCTGTGGTTTTCATTCTGCGCTGTCTGAACATCATCGACGAGAACGCAGGAGGCCTGTCCACCGTCTCCTACAAGAAGGGCCGCATTATAAAAGACACCGCTTGTAGGAGCAGAGAAGAGGATGAAGATGACGCAAGTCTTCTCAACGCAAAGACGCCGAGCGAAGCCCCATCGCCCATGCCGGCCAACTACCGTAAGCAGAACGGCCCTGCTTCAAGTGCAGACGTCACGCTCAACGGTAGCTGCGGCACTGGATACACAATGCCCAATATCACAGACATTCCGGACATGCCCGAATCTGATTTGTGAGGACCTGTCCAGTGTCATCTGTAACTGTGAGGACCAGAGTCAGTTCATTTAACCTGTAAGAACCTCTTCAAGTTCCAGCACTTCAGATGTCAATCACCTGAGTGATCACAATCAATCTCCCTCTCATTGAGATGAACATGAATGCTAACAGACAGCATTCTCTTATTCTCTTTGCTTCGAACAGCTCTCTTCCATCCACACTGGTCCAGCACATTTCTAAAGCCTGGTTACACAGACAGGGCTTAGATTAAGCCAGGATTAGGCCTTAGCTCAATTAGGACATTTAAGTAGCTTTTATAAACGCGCCCTAGACAAAAAACATTACAGGTGTGCATCTTGAGACAAAACTCTGGGACTGACATATTTTTAGATATGTCAGTGCAAGTTGCTTTCAGTTAAAACAGCTCAAACACGCATTTTAGTCTGGCTGTGTCTACCTTAAGCCTTGTCTGTGAAACCGGGGGTAATTGTATTATATGTGTAGCTAGCACTAACGCACCCCTTCCCCTATCCCGACCCATTGCCCCAACTGCTTACGCGCACTTACCCGACTCACTAGGGGCCTGTAGACCCCTGGTTTATGCTCTGCTGTAGAATGGCTATTTGTAAAAACAGATAATGTTGCAAGGCAGGGCAGTTACTGTCCACAAAAAAAAAGAGATTAGAAGCAGCTTAGCAGCTGTTGAAAAGACTAGAATGTAAATGTATGCGTAAACCGTGGAAACCATGCAATACGTTTATTTTGGATGTAATTAAATCATTGTGTATGGATTGCATTTAATACAACCCTAACTCATTGTTCGAAAAAAATGTGTGCCTAATCAATCCTAAAAATGTTAATATAATACAAGGAGTGAATGTTGTACATTTAAGGTATTCTGTAAATATATTATGAATACATTTATTCTAATATAGTTTGGAATACAGATCATGTTTTTTGGTAAGAAGTGCTTAAAAATCCAGTACGCTGACTTTTTTTTTTGTTTGTTTGTATGTTTGCTGACGTGCTATCATTGTATGGAGTCTTGATACTCCTCCCTCTTCCTGTATATATTTTTCATGAATTTGCTCAACGACGCAGTATTTTATTTCTCAGTATTGAGATTAAAAGATAAAGGATTCAGACACACTTTTGTGCTTTACTACTTTGTTGCACTTCACAACAACATGACCATGGTCAAAACTGTACATGGACAAATATTAAGGATGCACCAATATTAAAATTCTGCCTGATATATATATATATATATATATATATATATAAATAAACATTCCAGTGTTGGCCATTATGCATTAATACACAACTTATAAATATTAATTTGTATTATACATCTTTAAAAAAAAATGCATCCTTAAACCTGGGCCGTTGTTTAAATGAAAAGGCTTAACAACATAGGTGGATTTAAAACATCTTTATTGTCCATTTTGATTTGTTCTGTTATTGAAAGGTCATGTTCACCAATAAAAATCTCAAAACCAGTAGTGTTTAAAATCAAAGACATAACAATTATAAAATAAATGTTAAAACCTGGTGTTACAATCACATAAGGATTCAAATAAGCCTCGACTAAAAAGCAAATGAGTGTAAATTGTCATCTTTTTGACTTTTCCCTGAATCATTTCATCTCCACATGCCTCTTTAAAACGAAAACATCTGAAAGCTAAGAGCAGTGCAAACACATCAATCATACCACAACTCTGTCATTTACGCAGAGATGATATTGACAGATTCCTAGATTTCTTATTACTTTCATGACACATCTTAAGTGCTAAGGTCTACAATTGGGCGGCCTTAGCAAAGCCCACTCGGTTACTCTCTCGATCAAACACTGTGTAGTACTGCCCTATGAACACATCACCCAGAATCCACAGTGGTCCAGCGGGGGGTGGGATATCCAGACCCATGAATCCACTCAGACAGATGTCCTTTCCACCCTGGCTTTCCTGTAAACACACACACAGAGAATCTTTAGAATGTCTTTGTCATCATACCTAAGAATTACTTCAGTGTTTTGCTTTCACTGGCTACTAGCTGCATGTGATTTAAAAGAAACACCAGGCACATGATTTTATTCTGACTCAGGCACGACTTTTTCCTCAAACAACACCTCGTTTTCTGTTAATGCTAATTTACAGTTCTGCTAATGCAAAGTACCACATCAAAACAACAGCACTGAGGTGACAAAACAAGACTAACCTTGAGTATGTACTGTTCTCCAGTCAGAGAGTAAGTCTTTCCACCCAGGACGAATGAGACGGTGGGGAGTGTGGGCACTTTCTTACAGTCAACCATGTACTACAGAGGAAACGTGTTTAATAAGAGAACGTTATCAAAATGTTATATTTTCCAACACTATAAAAAAAAACACACACCAAGCATGCATGCTTTGTTAACAATGGTCTTTTTAAAATACATAAATATTAATAAATAAAAAATCTATCAAAAAATGTAGTTCACAAGTTTGGGGTCAGTATGATTAAAAAGAAATTAATACTTTTATTCAGAAGGGAAGCATTAAATTGGTCAAGTTACAGTAAAGAAATGTATACAATTACAGAAGATTTCCATTCAAATAAATGTTTTTTTCTTTCTTTCTATTGATCAAAAAAATATATTTTTTCCCACAAAAATATTAAGCAGCACATTGATAATAGGAAATGTTTCCTAAGTACCAAATCAGCATATTATGTTTTCTGAAGGATCATGTGACCCTGAAGATTACTGGAGTAATGAAGAAAATCTAAATTCAGATTTTTAAAATAGAAAACAATTATTTTAAATTGTAATATTTCACAATAACACTGTTCTTACTGTATTTTTGCTCAAATAAATACAGCCTTAGTGAGCATAAGAGAATTCTTACTGACCCCAATCTTTTTGAACAGTAGTCTGTATTTGTATTAGGTTTAAATAAGTTAAAATAAAATATGTCTTAATAGATAGTTAATTGTGTCACAAAGCTTCTTTTATGTATAATATATCAATATTTCAAGTTGCAGCACCTCTCCTTGGATCAGAGGGATTGCTCCTATAGCTTTCTGCAGGGCTTTGACCTCAGCGGCGGGGCCGGTGATCAGGGACGTCCCAGTGTCCACGATGGCTTCACATCCTCCTTTACACAGAGTCAGCTCGCTGCCAATGCTCATGCTACACACATAAACAGAGAACTGTTAACACAGCATTATTGTTATAGTGATCTTCTGCATTGGTGGTTCAGTGGTAGAATTCCTGCCTATCACATGACAGACCAGTATATTACATATGCATGCATGCCAGTTTTCATATTTTATGATAAAGGGAAGAAATGACCATATTTAAAGCTCTATCTATAACCTAAAATTTTCAAGCTGATTTGAGTGGAAGAATAAAAGACTACTTAAAGGGTCACTTCACCCATTTGCATTAAGGTTTGTATTGTTAGAAACCCAGTCATATATTATAATGATGGTGGAATTTTGCTTGTTTTTTTTCTGAGATGGGAGAAAAAAGGATTTAAGTGTTTTACTTCCGTCCTATCGTGACGTAAATATCGTCATTTTGCGTCACGATAGGACGGAAGATAAATTTCATTGCATATTAAGAAAACTACAGCCTTTAGCTCATTATTATTCAAGGGCGTGGGACCCACTCACCCCACCGGCCTATTACAGATCAGTGGGTGGGACTAAACCTGAAGAAACTAAACTATTAATCCGCCATCTTGCTTGGAAGACAGCAAGCTAAGCTAACAAGCGCTCAAGGAGTTAGATTTACCATAATGCCTGAATTTACGACACACGATATGGAAGACGAGGATTTTGAAAATCTTTTGCTCGAAACTGATGTTCGTGGCTATTTATACGAGCCACAATATAGCGAAGAGCAGCTGAGGCTGATGGAGGAACAAGAGGCGGCGGCGTCGGCTGCGGCAGCGGCCGCCGCAGGAGACCAGCCCGGCGCAGACGAGAAGCCCGGACTGGCTCGAGCTGGGCGGACTGCTGGTGCCTACATGTCGTGCTCTCGGCTCTCGCTGTGCGCTACGGACACAGATAGAGTCCGTCTGCTGCAGAGAATTTCAACGATCGCAATATCACCTGGACGAAACCTCTGAATCAGACGAGCACACGGACGTTTGTGTTGTGATCCATCCAAGTTTCGCACCGCATATGTTCTGACTGAACATCCAGGTAACTTTATCATCATCATGCAATAATTCACCATATAGAAAGTAGGGCTGAGCGATTTTATCGATTCTGCGATATAAATCGATATTTTTTCTCCCAAGAAAGTATCGATTTTTAGGCCGCGAGTATCGATACATAAGTCCCATTCAAATCCCCCGTGTTAAACCCGTTCGCGTTGCATGAAGAGTGATTTGGTCAGCCAGCCGCTAGTGGCCAGCTGCGCGCGTGCATCGATATTGACGAAAATCCAGCTGTATTCAAACAACAACTTAGCTCTCCTTGTTGGCTAGGCTCCTTGCATGCTGGCTAGTAGCTTTTTTTAAAGCTGGGTCTCCGAAATTGACAGCGCTGTGTTGGACAGATTTGTGCAGCGGTGTTCCGTGAGTGAGAAAGTGCGCGAGGTACGGATGAGTGTGTGTGTGTGTGTGTGAGAGAGAGAGAGAGAGAGAGAGAGCGAGAGCGAGGTAGTGCTGCGTGAATGCGCTGCGGCGCTCTGCAATCAAATACGATTTTAAATAGGCTTAGTAAAAAAAAAAAAAAAATGTAAAAAAAATCGTATTCGGTGGTGGAAAACGCCGGCTTTAGGCGCATGGTGAACGCGATGGAGCCCCGCTATCCTATTCCAACCCGCGAACACCTCATCAAGGTTTGCATTCCCAGGCTGTACACTCAGGCAAGAGCACACGTCAAAGCCTCCCTGGCCAGCGCGGAGAGAGTTTCCCTGACGTGCGACGGCTTGACCTCGCGCACAACTGAAGCACGTCACATGTTCAGTGTCAAGCTAAAAAAGCTGTCAAAGAAAAGGCAGTGCAAAGAAACTGTTCACAACAGGCCACTTGCTGCACCTTTTAACTCTCCAT